TACGGCCGCCCGTTCACCCTCCTCATGGACCATAAGCCCCTTCTTGGCATCTTAGCGGGGGATCACGCCACCCCCCCTCCTGTCACCCCGTATGTCCCGCTGGTCCGAATTCCTCGCTGCTTATTTGTACCGGCTGCACTACCAGCCGGGTAAGCATATGGGCCACACGGACGCCTTGAGCCGCTGTCCGTTGCCCGCCCAGGTTTCCGACCCGGCCCTGTCCGTGGCCTCCGGTGTCTTCCTTGTAGATGACCTGGAGCTGCCACTCTCTGCTTCCGATATCGCCCAGGCCACCTCCTCCGATCCACTCCTTCGCCGTGTTTTGGATGCTGTTCGCCCGGGCTGGATGGCGGATTCTCGGGCTCCCGAGTTCCTGTCTTTCCTTCGCCGCCACACCGAACTTTCCATCCTCCAGGAATGCTCCTTTGGGGCTCCCGGATGGTCGTGCCACCTGCCCTGCGCCAGCTGGTCCTGCGTCGCCTCCATGAGGGTCACCAAGGCATTGTCTGCATGAAAGCCCTGGGCCGCGGTTATGTCTGGTGGCCCTCCATGGATGCTGACATTGCTGGCTGGGTGCAGCGGTGCCCACCTTGCCAAGCTGTCCGGCCTGCCCCCCCCATGTCTCCTTCCCAGGAGTGGGAAACCCCCTCCTCTCCCTGGAGCCGCATCCACACGGACTTCTTTGGTCCGGTAGATGGCCGCACCTTCCTTCTTATAGTGGACGCCCTCTCTAAGTGGGTTGAGGTCATCCCCATGCACTCTTTAACATCTGCTGCCATCATCCATGCTCTCGATTTTTCTTGACCCACTTTTCTTGACCCACGGGTTACCGGACATCTTGGTGACCGACAACGGTCCCCAATTTGTGTCCGCCGAATTCCGCCTCTACCTGGCCAGCCTGGGGGTTCGCCATGCCCCTGTGGCCCCCTACCACCCCACAAGAAACGGAATGGCTGAGCGCACTGTTCGCTCTGCCAAGGAAGGCCTGGCTCATCTCAGTCACTTGCCCTGGTCGGCCCGGCTCTGTACCTACCTCCAAGCACAACACTCCACCCCATGCTCCACCACCGGCAAATCCTAATGGGCTGCCGGCTCTGCACCACCCTGAACCGGCTACATCCCCACTTCGCTCCCCTGTCTATGCCTCAATCGGACGCCCCACGGACCTTCTTAGTGGGGGAGGAGGTATATGCCCAGAACTATTTGGGCTAACCGAAGTGGGTACTGGCCGTGATACAAGAACTAACGGGGCCCTGTTCCTATAGGGTCCAACTTGGCGACGGACAAGTTTGGCGGCGCCATATAGACCAGTTGCGCTGCCGCACGACCACCCAACTGCCCGGACTACAGGCCCACGCCGCTCCGGCCGCTCTGCCCAACACTGGCCTCCAGCCACAACCACCACAACGCAACCAGCCAGGCGGCCCGCCACCAACTACCACCGCTGCCGCAAACTTATCTTTAAATTCCGGCGCGAGGCAAGGGGCTGGGCCTCCAATTCAGCTCCGCCACTCAAACAGATCTCCTCCTCCACCTCCGACGTCTTCAGCGACCACACCCGGACTGAGGCGGTCTCAGTGCCTGCGTAGTCGGCCGAAGTACCTGGATGACTACGCATGTGCTATCCGGGGGGATGCATCCTCTTGACGCAGCTGGCAGCCAAGCCATGCCTTGCAGGAAACTGATTGGTCCTGGCGTGGCTGCCGGGCGGCGGGAGTATTGCGGTCTCCCCATTGGACGGCCGCCTGACAGCTATCCGTATAAATAGCTGTCAGGTGGCGCTGTCCAGCGCCCGTGTTCTGAACTTGCTATTCGCCTTACTACTGTTAATAAAGTTCCAGTTAATTTACCTCAGCGCCTCCTCGTACTTAAAAGGTAGTAGCCGGAAGCAGCTGCCACTGTACTGGTACGGTGGCTTGTTTGGCCCGTCTGCCCGCGTTCTATACCTGTTTTTAAAGCAACCGGCCAATTGTGCATGCACGCACAGTGTGAGGCGCCTGCGTTACCTCCGACAAGCAGCTGGGAGTCACAGGGGCGGTGGAGTACGCATTCATATGCAGTGCACATGCACTAACAAGCCACCCCGCCCCATGCGCAGTGTACCAATAGCGACCACCACTGGCTGAAGTGATGTTTTCAAAATGCACAATTCTGCAGCCAAAAGGAGTTACTCTGAGCCAATTCTTCTCCTCCCTCTCTAATGTCAAACACTTCCTGTGTTCTGATATTATCCCTCTATATTTCTCTGCAGATAGCTTAGTGGTGGGGGACAAAACAAAAAGAAAGATATCGGGAGGTATTTGAAATGCATGTTTAGCTAAGTCTTCAGGAAGGGTAAAAAATGGACCTATTTTTCAGGATGCTACAACCCCAATCCTTAGCCTAACCGATTCATCCAGGATGTGATTTGATTTGCAGATTCTGCTGGTAAAGTTGTAATTTCCAAAAAGGGCAAGTGCAAATGCTAATTAAAAAGCTGCATTGATGTTATCATATGCTTTCTTTCTACTGCAGCGAGTAATGAATGGGAGGAACTGGACAATTCAAACGATGGCCCAGAAGAACTGGAAGAGCACACAATGGTGGATTATCAGGCAAGCTAATTAGCTAATTAGCTATAAATCACTTTATAGGTAATCCCCGATTTAGGATCACAGTTGGGACTGGAGATTTGGTTGTAGATGATTGCAGTTGTAAGTTGAGATACCGATGTGACTGGAGCTTATGGGGGGGGGAGGGCATTTTTACCATGGTCGTTATGCAAATCATTACTATATGTCTGAATCATGTAGTCAATAGATGAATCATGCTGTTCTTAAGCAAATCCATTCTACTAAATTGGCGGGTCCCCCCCTCAAAAAACTAGCAAATAATATTGGAAACTGGCAAAAAAAGCATTGCAAATCATGATCATGTGACCGTGAAATACTGTAACTGGTCATGAATTTATTTATTAATTTAAAACATTATATAAAAAAATTACATTAATAACTATACGACCAGTTACAGTATCCTATGGTCACATGACCATGTCATGTCACCCATCTCGGTGGCACAGTGGCTAGAATGCAGTACTGCAGGCTACTTCTGATGATTGCCGGCTGACTGCAATTTGCAAATCTCACCAGGCTCAAGGTTGATTCAGCCTTCCATCCTTCTGAGGTCCATAAAATGAGAATCCAAATTGTTGGTGACAATATGCGGACTCTGTAAGCCGCTTAGAGAAGGCTGTAAAGCACTGTGAAGCAATATATATGTAAGTATAGGTGCTATTGCTATCTTATGATCAACTTGGATGGCTTCCAATCAAAATAAATGTGAGCTGAAATGAAGTCATATGACAGGGATGACACAATGTTTTCCGATAGGCAGAGCTGGAAGTGCTTTATGGGTTATAAAACACCCTTTCAAAGTCTGTCATAACTTTGATGGTTGTTAAACATCCAGTGGCAAGTTGAGGGCTACCTGTACATTGTTTTCCCTTTTTACTGGCATTTCATTAGCTTATTTGTTCTTATGGCTGTATTGCATAGATTTATATTCTGCCATTCTTGAGGGAACTCAAGGAGATCCTCTAATCCTGTGAGTTAGGTTGACAGAATGATTGGTCTGGATTCACTCAGGGAGTTTTATGAACAAGTGTGAATCTTTGCTTTGCCTTAGTCCTAGTCAAAATGAATGGTTCTAGTGTGGCTCAATCTGTTAATGGGCCTACTCTGTATACCCTTGCTTCAAGTTAGGAATGTCATGGGGTGCTGCAGCAGCTGAAGAATATCTCCTTTCCTGTAGCAGGATTTCCTGCAAATCAGCTAAGGTATTATAAGGAAGAGTTGTCAAAAGAAGAGGCTAGGGCCCTCTTCAGTTTCCAAAGTGGATTTCTTCAAATAGGGGCACCTAGAAAGGGAGAGAATAAGCACATCTAGATTCTGTTGTCTGCTAATGTCACTTTTATCTTGTTTACCTCAGGGGTGGGTTCCAGCAGTCGCTACTGTCAGTTTGCTCATGGCTGCGCTGCGTGTGCATCCATGTGCTGTGCAATAAGAATTGCTCTGCGCATGTGCAGAAGCAAAAAACAAGATGGCGGCGCTTACAGCCCTGCCGGGAGAACCGGTTCAGGGGTGTGGCAGGCCAGCGACCCAGGCCTGCCACACCCCTGAACCGGTTCTCCCGGCAGGGCTGTAAGCGCCGCCATCTTGTTTTTTGCTTCTGCACATGCGCAGAGCAATTCTTATTGCACAGCACATGGATGCACACGCAGCGCAGCCATGAGCAAACTGACAGTAGCGACTGCTGGAACCCACCCCTGAGGTAAACAAGATAAAAGTGACATTAGCAGACAACAGAATCTAGATGTGCTTATTCTGTCCCTTTTTAAGGGGCCCCCCTTTTTGAAAAAAAACTTTTTTATACAAAAAAGGAAGGAACCATCCTT